TCAGCAGAATTATTCGTTGGGCTGCCCCTCAATCTTAGCCGTGGACTCCGAGTCGAGGCTGGACCGGGCTGACAGCAGTCTGTTGGACTCCTCTGTATTCAGTCTGTTGAGATATTCCCCCTCCAAGCCTTTGGCCTTGGTACTAGGAGACAGAGTCTCAAACGCCACATACGAGTCCTGAATGTCTTTGGGCTTTTTGCCCAGAAACTTCTTGATTTTCCTCTTAAGTGCCCCGCAGCACACGATCACAGTCAGAGGAACGGCTATCACGCAGGCAACCGTGATTACTACTACATTAATGAGCTTTTGGGTTCCATTAGCGCTTGCCGCTGCATCTGTTGAGAAGATTACACACTGCTCCTTTTTGGGGATCAGCCCCTTGACACACACACAGGCGATGTATTTGGTTTTTGGAACCAGTACCTCAATGATGATCCGGTTGTTGCCTGGACTGACGTTAATTCTGCGCATATCCCTCTCGCCAAACACAGCGTAGAGGACGCTGAAAGCTGTTGTGCTCTTGGCGGTCGGTGCCCTCCAGTTCAGACACACAGTGTAGTCCGTATCGCCAATCACTTTCACCGAGCGCACAATCCTATCAGGGTCTTGCTGCAGTGAGGATGTGTTTGCGGCCAGGTTGCTCAGATTGGTCTCTAAGAACCCATCAGGACTGGCCGTTTGGGTATTCGTCCGACTGTTAGCGGCATTGTCGCTTTCCATACCTGGATATGGGCCTGTGTAGCTCACGGTGGCACCAAGTGGTAGTGCATTGTTGGGTGTTGGGGAAACATATCTGGCGATGTGTTTTTCTTGATAGGCTGCCTTGACTATTGGGTTTGGCTTCTTGGACTTTACTTTGGTTTTTGGATCCACAGTCGGATTCTCAGCTTTGGGAGCATCGCTTATGATCAAAGAAATGACGGCTTCTGCACTCCCTGCATAATTTGTTGCTTTGCAGATGTATTTTCCCGTGTCACGATAGGACACGGCAGGCACGCTTAAAATAGACCAAACTATTCCCTCCTTCAAATTCTCCAGTTGAGCTGCAAAATTTGGAGGAAAAAAGCAGAACGCTTGAGTACATTCACTCAAAATGCAAGAATTAATTAGTATTGTGTAATCACAGTGCATTGTTGTGTCCGTGCCAACAGTGTAATCACTGTGCATTAGCACTTCTGGCTAATGCTGCTTAGCTGCCCGCCACTGTGCTGACTCACCTGTCCCATTCAGTGGCTTCCCATCTGCCCTTCTCCAGGCCAGATCAGGGATGGGAACCCCAATGGTTCCGCATCGCAGTAAGACATTGTTGCCCACTGCGCTCCTCACCCGGGCTACGGCCGTGTGGACGCGAGGCCCCTGGCAGCGCCTGAGCTCAGCATCGCTAAACAGAACTCCAGAGAGGCTCTCTGGATCGGCGCACCTGAGCCTCGTATCAATGAAAGCCACCGACAGACTGGGAGACTTCTGGAACTGGACCAGGTCGTATAATCGGCAATCGCACAACCAGGGGTTGTCATGAAGACCTGGGGCAAAACAAATGTTCAGTGGCAAGTTACAACAAAACTCTTAAATTAAGAAAACCTTTATAATTGTAATAAAAAGTTATAATAGTAAGGGCATTTCCTCTCAAAGTTTTCTTAAGAAATTAAGTGATTTTTTTCATCTTAATGCATTTTTATGCAAGACTTTGCATTTTTATATAAAAATACACTGAACAAAATGGTGCAGGATTTACTTTGAAACGATTTTCAGTCATAAATTGCTAGTAAATTTCACAAATAATTGCAAAGAAAAGGCAAGTAACACTGAATTAAACAGGAAATTTGTAAGTAGAAAATGCAATATAATCTATATAAAATATAATCATATAAATAAAAAAAACTAACACTTGCTTTCTAATCTTTTTGTATTCTATCTGTTTTCTTTTCATTTATTATACAATTAACAAAAGCAAAAAAGACCTCTAACACTAGCTTGCTCCATTCTTTTTCTATTCTATCTGTTTTCTTTTTATTTATTATATTACTTAAAAAAAAAAACTTGCTACGTGTACTGCGTTAAGCTAACTGAGACTTGTTATAGCAGTTGTATATCATTGCTCTTTTGTTGATTTTGATTGCTTCCATTGTCCTCATTTGTAAGTCGCTTTGGATAAAAGCGTCTGCTAAATGACTAAATGTAAATAATTTAATATACAAATATACAAAATATATAATATATATAATAACCTCAATATATTAAATTAAGAAAAGAAGACAAAGGAAAAACTTACCAAGGATCATTTTTGAACTTTCTGCTCCTTGGATGGGTTTGACTGTCAACCAAGTACTGAGGACCTCAGATGGTACTGTCAGCAGATTATTGCTGGATAAATCCAGGTAGGTTACATTTTTCATGTAGGGAGCAGCCTCAGATGGTACTAAGGACAGCTGGTTGTTGTGTACATCGAGTAGCCTCAGACTGGGCATGTCCATAAGGGATTCCCATGGAAACGAAGTGAGCGAATTTCCATCGAGCCTTAGTTCCTCTAAACTGTACAAGCCCCGGAAACTGTCCGAGTTGAGAGAGGATAAAACGTTAAAAGACATCCAAAGGAATTCTAAGTTAGAGAGGTAGCTAAAAGCCTCGCTCGGGATCCTCTTAATGGCCGACTTTTCAATCCGAAGTTTCGAGGTGTCGCCTGGGAACGTGGCGGGCACCAGGGAAATCTCGGGATCGTTGCAAATCACGCTCCTGCAAAACGCATTGGAAACAAAAATAAAGAGTGATAAGCAGGGATTTGAAAGCTTGCGCACACGGATCTTTAAAACCAGTGGTATTTGACTGATGCTACAAATGCTTGTAAAAAATCAGAAATTTTGAACGTTAGTCATTATTGGTCAAAATGTACACATATTGCGCAATGAAAATGGAAGTTCTTGTTTTCTTGATTTAATTAACTGAAAAAATAGACTGAATTTAAATTGCCATATTTTAAAACTCTAAGAAATACTAAAATAAATTAATACATACGTACATATATTTTGTATGTAAATATCCTCAACTGTATTACACACAATATGTAATGTATAAAATATAGCCAGAGTGTGGAATGCGCAAATGCAGAAGTGCACCACATTTCAAGTGGGGGGGGGGATGCATTGCATTGCATGAATTAAATACAGTTGAGATAATAAAATACAGACTCACCTGGCTCTTGATCCATCACTCAGGTTATGATAAAAGCAGCTGCATTGGGAAGGACAGGTGCTCCGAACAAGTGGAAAGCCACCAGATGCCAGTAGGAGACCCAAAAAGACAGTAAGAGACATATCGCTACTAGTGTCAACAAAACACCGCTGACCGTAATTTTAATGAAGGACCATCCACTTGCAATTATGGGGAAAATAACCAGCATGTCATCGTCGCTCTGCTCCGATGTCACTTAGTGATCTGACTGCTACGAGTCCAGCAGATAAAAAGGACAGATGAGGATTAGCGAAAGCATGCGCGTTATTTTCATTTAGATGCGGATGCATCTTGGAATCTGATAGGCTACACGGAGATACAGCTGTTAATTATAGGGAGAAAATATTTCTGAATTGGCCATAATGTTGAATACCCATCCCCCATCTAGCTCTAATCTTCTACCTGACAGCTAAACTATGAAATTTGTTGCATCACTTAGATTGCGTAAGAGCTGATGATATTTTAAATCTAAATGGTCATAAAAAAAAGTCACACTTGTGTTTTTGACGGTCAATGGGAAATACGCAAAAATACGAAAATACAGAGAATTTTTGTGTGTACAATCTACAAATCATTCACGATGCAGAAAAAAAGTGCACAGCAATGAAGGGGTGACTCTAAAATATCAAGTGCAAAATGTTGAAACCAACATTTCAAACAAAAAAATCTAAACCTTTACAAAAAGTTGTCTTTGAGAATGTCTAAATATATATCTAAATCCACAACTTAATAAAAATAAGTATTTATATCTAAAAACAACTACAGAATTAATAAACCTTTTACATAGAGCTTTATGAATCTAGTGGATAAACCATGGAATTGCAGAAGTTTTTCTTTTTTTACTCCCACCAGATGGAACTAATCTGCCTTCAAAAATTTGATTTTTATTTATTATTTTTAGACAGGTGAGTCTCTATTTTAACATGAAATACTGCCAATTGAAAAGTAATATAAAATATTAGAAAAAAAGTATTATTTTCAATGGGAAAAACTGATCATAATTATTGCATAAATAGTAATTACTATAATGAAATTCTCTCAAAATACAAAAGAAAAAAATATTATTGAACAAAAATATATTGCATTGATTTTACTGAAAATGAGCAATACCAGAGAGTTAAAACATTTTCCTTTATGTAATCCTGTTAGACCTTGGCTGACAGGTAGCTTGCTTTTCCTAATAGCCTGTTGTTAGGGTTTGTAAATACAACTATTCTTAATAGACAGAAACAAGCCAATGCAAGAATAAATAAATAAATAATATAAATAATATAAACAGAAAATATCTTAACATCATGAGCTCAAAACAATGAATAAGAACAGTGCAGGAAATATGATCATAAATATTTCAAAATCTTTCTTGAGTTTCTATAAGGGCCAAATTCAGAGGAGTTAAATCTTTCCACACATTTTGTTTCTGAAAGATTTATATGTAAATCCTTCCTTGGTATAAAACTGGTATGGCGTGTATGTTTAATTAGACTGTTTTCTTGTAACTGTTGTACCACTACCACAAGAGTTATTTTTGCCTGAAACCTATTTGTTTATGCTACTGTAGGTTTGTAAACACAACATAGGTTGAACCTTGGAGCCAGGCCATGTTGTAAATATAAAACAGAATTTCTCAACTCCGCCAAGAAAAAAAAATCAGCAAACTGTTGTTTATTGTTTTAAATAATTCATTTTAAATTATTTGTTTGTTTTGAAGTGTTCAATAAATTATTCTAATATCAGTTCTGATGTTTTATATATTAATATATACAATGCTAAACATTTAATTTAACCTCAGACTTCCTAAACCTCGTTCACACGCCTTCTAAGGTCACATTATTCCCCTAAATATCTTTTTGTGAGTGTTACAGTTATACAGTATAGCTAGAGAATTCAGTAAAGACTTAAAACTGCAGTGAGCTCAGTACCATGTACATTTTTTTGTTACATTCATGTCAGGCAGCTAATCTAATTTGCACTAGCAAAACCAAATTCATATTTTACTTTACAGTAGTATGTGGAAATTTGAGTGGGAAAAATGGTCATATAATTTTGTATGGTTATATGACTAGGCATTTTTTAACATGTAAATTATATTTCCCAGGTTTCATTAACCTCATAATCTTTACTGAGGTACTTGCCTGAACAATATGGGTCTTGTTTAGGACAAGTATGGTATGATGATTAGCGCCGATTTTGAATTTTGTCATTTCATACGTTTCACTCAGAAATTATGCATTGTAAAAATAAGGCCCTGTATGTGGAAATACACAGGACTTCTTGTGATAAAAGACTGATGATTGTAGATTTGTAAAACAAAAAATAGGTTAGTGTATCAGTGTTACTTTTTGTTACTTATTTGGCTTTCACTCAAGTATGAATAATGCAATCGGGAAACAAAGGGGCTTTTAATAAGCACTTCAGATTGGCTATTTTGTCTAAAAAAATATTCTAAATGTTTCTATTTCAGCACCGAACACAGCTTATGATTGTGATTGTAAAGGCTTAATGTTGTAAGTGTCCCTAAATTATTTCTCAGAACAACAACTAATCTATTTGTGAACACACTGACATTTTCTCTCTATTTTGTTTGAAGATCTGTTCATTATTCAGTAATTTTCTCCAAACCACAATGTCTCCTACAATTGAGAAAAGTGATTGTAAATGGACAGTTTCTCTAATCATCCCTATGCAAACCATCTGGTATACAATGTGCGTTAGCGTAAGGAGTGACAGCTCGACAACACCTGTTGTGCAGCCAGCAAACAGAACAGGACACACTGGATTGGCACAGACTGGACTGGTTCGCATCCACCCCGGTCTTATTATCAGAGCGCTCAAGCGTCTGACACACAAAGGCTTATTGTGTAACTGAATGAGCGCTTTACAGTCGCCCTGTGTAAATGCGTATTAGGGGTCAATGGTAGGAGTTGTTATATTCATTATGACATTCTTGTGCGGATTGAGGCAGAGGGAGAGGGCTTTACATAATTACGTTCATGCTTTTCACGTGAAATGCTCCTTTAAAAGAAGGCTTCGATCGAACACATTGAGGCATATCGCGCGCGCGAGCGGACTGTGATTCTGCACAGTTTGGTACCAAAATTGCGTTCAAAGTGGTGACGTCGTATCCACTACCGGAGGGATTCTCCGAGTTGGATGTGTTCTCCCTGGGATCTTGTCTGCTCGTGGAGGGTAAGAGTCGTGTTCAGGTTATATTAAAATAATAATTATTATTATTACAATAAGAGGATCGCCTGCACATCTTACTTTGTGGATATGCACAGCCTCTATAGGATGAGCTTTATCCAGGAACGATAGCATAACGTTTGAATAAATAAACACACAGCGGTGATTTAACTATCTATCTGAAGACTGTCACTGCTATGTTACTGTTGTGTAACCGCGCTGTTTGGGGTCTCGAGAAGGCTCTGAATGTTCACACGTTTTCTGTGTCCTCTGAAGGTCTCCTCGGGTTCTTCCTAAATGCTGTCACCGTTGTTGCTTTTCTTAAAATAAGAGAATCGCGGACCCCAAGTAATTTTCTCGTGTTCAGTCTGGCCATGGCAGATATGGGTATTTCTATGAACGCCACTGTTGCTGCCTTCTCCAGTTTTCTGAGGTGAGCACGCGCAAGTCTGTGTTGATGTTGGTGTTGTTGTTGACGGAACCCCTAGAGGTGATGCTGCGTCAGGGATGTAGTAGTGTGTAAATACAGCTGTGATGTAATGCTGCTGAAGAGGGGTCTTTTTTCGTAATGAATGACTAAAGTGCAGCTGTTGGGGTTGCAGGATTTTATTAATTTTTTTAGTCTTTTAATCACATCCCAGCTAAAGTAAATAATAGCATAATCCAGCCTGGTTGAAAAGGTGATTTACTGGTTTTAGCTGCTCTCCCTGGTCTGGTCAGACTGGTCTGTTGGCTGGTTTTATAGAGGTTTTGGGCATTTTCGGCATTAGTTTTCCAAGTTGGAAATTAGCTAGTGCAAGCTGATAGACCATTTTAGACCAGAAGCAAATTGGCAGTTTTTTTGAAAACTGTAGCAGGCTAATGAGCAGTTTGGGCCAGAAACCAGCTACCATGTTCCAAAACACAGATATGTTAGATTTCCATATTTATTGATACAAGCAAGGATGTGATCAAATATTTAAGATAGAGGAAACAAGTTAGAAAAATGTCATTGAGAAAAATACAGTACACATCACGATTAATTTAATACTATTATTACAGATAAACAACATAAGCAATGCTAAACATCAACCAGCAAACTTTGATATTTTTTAATACTTTATCTTCTTGAAACTCCAGATACTGGCCTTACGGATCAGACGGATGCCAGACCCATGGCTTCCAGGGCTTTATGACTGCTCTCGCCAGCATCCATTTTATTGCAGCCATTGCTTGGGACAGATACCACCAGTACTGCACAAGTGAGTAACAGAGAAGTAAAAGAAAGAATAAGTTGCTTCTCACCACTTCAATAGGATATTTGACATGCTTTGTTATAGTTCAACCCACCCATTTTGCCAAGACCACCTGCTGAAGGCACTTATAATGCACATATGCTTCACCAAAGGCCATACTTTTCAGAATCTCAGTGAATGACCATTTTAAACTAGTTTGTGAACACAGAGCAACTCAGGTCTGGTATGTTGTGGTGTGTAAATGTAAATTCTGTAACAAAAACAACAACAACAAAAGCAACATACACAACCGTTCAAAACTTTGACCCAAAATATTTTTTTTTAAAGAAATGAATACTTTTATTCAGCAAATATTTTTGAGCACCATATCAGAATATTACACTTTTAAAAATAAACGTTTCAAAAGTAGGAGACATTTGTAAAGATTCCATTTAAGAACTACGAGAACTACCTTTCTGTGAACAGTTCTTAAAATAATCATTTTTTCTTAGTATGAAGAACATTTTTATAACCTAAAGAACCCTTTTCTACTATAAAGAACCATGTTAAAGGTTCTTTATGAAACTACAGATGCTATTAAAGAATCTTTGTTTTTAGGAGTGTAGAATGATTAAAGGATGTGACACTAAAGACTGAATTAATGGCTGCTTAAAAATCAGCTTTGCTATCACAGGAATAAATCACATTTTAAAATATATATAAAAAACTGTTATTTTAAATTGTACAATATTAATGTTTTTACTTTATTTTTGATCAAATAAATTCAGCCTTGGTGAGCATAAGAGCATGAACATGAATGTCTAAAGATTGTAAA